ACTACTGTTAAGTAAAAAAAAACCCACTCTCAAAAACTCTAAGTGATGGAGAACTGTTACATTACTTTGTACTGTTTTTAGGATAGTTAGAATTTGGCATACGTAAAAGTTGTGGTATTAGTGTATTCCTATTAAATTGAAAAAAAAAAGTAATGATATTTCAGAATAATAGACAAGCACCTCATAATTTAGAAAAATATCCACCATAGTTTACATATTTTCTTTTTAAAAAAAAAAAAGTTCATTCATATCTGGAAGTAGTAGCTCTGGTTGAACCTTAGGGTTTTAGTTTCACATGTAGTGTGTGAAATTAATCTGCCACACAATCAAATTCCTGTTAGAATTGTCTTGAAAGCTTTTTCAGACTAAAAATCTCAGCAATGTAAAATCTGAAAATACAAGCTTCTCCCCACCCGTGTTACTGTAATTTTGGGGCAGAATTTTGTTTCACTCTTCAGGGATAGTAGAAGCAAAGCTAGTTTAGGAAAAAAGTGAAGGCCGGTCTTTTTCACGGATGTTAGAAGGAAGAGAATCAAACTAATTTCCTTTTTTTTTTTTTTTTTTTAGAAGCAAATATTGGTAATTCATTTTTTGGCAAATAACAAATGTCTTTGCAATTAATTTTGCATGATTGCCCTTTGGTTATCAGCCAAGAAATGTGATCAGTCATATTTTAGTACTTCTTCAAAAAGTCATAAAGTTAAAATCTGTTCAGTGATCAAATAAGTGGATATTTCTTAGTGATAATTATCTGTATAGCATGCAGCTTTACTGTGGTGTGATTTATGTCAGCCGTACTTCTGTAGTTTTGCCATTTTTGAAACACTTAGGTTTCAAAAAGCCCAACCCTCTGTTCCATTGTGCATGGAGTTAAGTGCTCTGGCAGGGAAGGGTCATTGTTTCAGCACTGACAATTGTCAGCACAATCCTGACATTGAGAGACAACTCGTGTTCATTGCATGACATAAAAAGGATCTTCGTGTAACTTTAAATGCAAAATGGAGAAGGAGGGTTGGCTTTAGGATTTGAAGGTGTTTGTTATCTTTAAAAACTTCTCAGCCTCAAAGTTTAACGGGAATCTTACTTAAAAAGTGAAAAAAACCCAGAATTCTTAAATGTGAGGGGTGGAAAAAAAGAGAGGCGCCAATAGGACGAGTTCCAAACTTCAAATAATTCCTTCTTGCTCTGATTTTGTTGGAGTGTTTTGGAGTGATTTTGACCCAAACTTGTGTTGTGGGATATACTTCTATGAAATATACCACTAATAAAACTAGAGCAAAAAAATATTTTCTTGATGTATCTTGGTGGGCATTTGTTGGGATTTTTGGATACCAGCTTTTGGATAACAATTGGATAACTGTTAGTTTGTCTTAAAATCAATGAAAGTATTTAGAGGACAGTAAATATTTGCTTCTTAAATTAAGCTGGATGGACACCTTTGGTACTGAAGGGAGCTTGAAGTCAGTATTGCTTATATTTTTAACACTGAAATATCTTGCTGGTTATTGGTTTCTGTAACTTTTCTGTAAATAATCTGTAGTCTCTTTCTTAGATCTAAAATAACCTTGTATTACTCAGTTCTAAAACTTACCTAAAGCTTATTTCATAAGGGTTTAAAGTTTCCTTATGATGGGAAATATAAAGCTGCTCTCAGCGTGTGTAGTACTACCAGACTTCTGTGGTTTGAACCAAGATGATGGGCTGGTAGCCTGCCTCATTTTGAATCATTTTGGTTGAAATTTTCCAAATACTTTCATTCCGATATTGAAACGGTGGAAAAATACTGTAATGTCCAAGAGAGTTATTTAGAAATGTTTTATTATTGCTCAATTTTTCAAGGAAGAAAATTGAGTTTGGCTGCACTGAGGATGTTTTGGTACATAAAAGCTGTATGAAATTCAACAGGCCTTCCCATGCATTGGCAATTCAGGGCTGCTTTGAGATGAGGTAGATCTGGGCATAACAAGGGTATGGGTTGGCAGGAGGGGGAAAGCTGGTACGAAGAACCGTTTATTTAAAATACAAGTAGAGGATCTTTTTCAACCTGTGCTCTCATTTACTTCTCCTTCCCTGTCAGGAAAAGGAGGGGAAATTGCCTGGACTAAGTGTACAGGCAGGAAAGGCAGGGTCTGGGTGGGGCAAATAGGAGCTCCTGACTGGCTGCCACAAGACCAGACCCACCAGCTTGGAGTCAGGGAGCTGGGAAGCTGGGTCCATGGTGGGATTAGGAACCAGCGGGCAGAGTGAAAGACGTGATGGGGATGAGGGAATGTATGTGAAGAGCAAGCAGGACCAGGAGAACAGTAAAGCTAATTGGACAAAGAATTAGTATTGGGGAAGATGCTTGAGACTGGGTTACAAATTTGGTCATAGAAGTGGAGATGCCTGCTTATTTTTTGGCCTAAGCCTGTATTTTATAGCCTAGCACTAAAACTGAAGTTTGGGAGTGAGGGGAGAGACTGATAAGGATCTGTTACCTCAACCAGGGCAGAATACATCGAGTTTGGAAGAAGCAGGTAGAGGAGACTATGGTCACTGCAGTGCCGTTTGGAGCTTGGAAACAAGCCCAGCCAGATCATTGCTGCTGCCAGTTCTTCAGCTCGGGTGGCAAATATGCGGTGCTTATGCTTTATTAGCCCAGGTTTCAGTAAGTTTCCACATAATTTGTTTTCTGCTGGCTTATTTTAGAAATATCTAAGATATATGTAGGCATATATTGTGTCTAGAGAAAAATACAGGGAGAATTTCAGAGCTTCTAAGTCAAGCTCTCAGAAAACAGGAAAAAGCAGGCTGTCTCTCGAGACTGCTTTCTCTCCCCAGGTACAATATGTTCATGTGACTACGTGTGGTAAATAAGATGCAAGATAAAAACCATCTTGTGTGAAAACTGCCCTGATGAACTGGTTTCTCCCCTGCCTCTGTTGCAATGACCTTATGAGTTATGCAGTGATAAACTAATAACTAGATAGCTAAACGTCAGTCAGTTTGCAGGCTGCCTCCCTCAAGGCCGTGCGGCTTGCAGAAGCACTGTGTGTTCCCTAGGATGGCTGTAAGAGCAATGCTTAGAGAAATAGCTTTTATCACCAAGGCTTCCAAGATGAGGGAATGCATTTAACCTTAGTTTGAACGTACCTCTGGCAGCTCCTATGTGCAGTGATGGTAGAGGTGCATTTTGGGAGCGAAGGGTCAGGATCCTCAAGGTTTGCGTTCAGTTGCTCTTTTGGCAGGCAGCCAGCGCTGTCCTGCTCAACACAGGGAAAGGGCAGTGCAGTTGAACAGCCTCGTTCAGCTAAACCTGAACCGATTTGGATGGGACAAATAAACGTCACTTTCTCCATCCCAAATAGCTCCCTCTTCCTCCAGCTGCTATTGTTTGCAGACAGCCTGTGAAATTCAAAGGCGTTAGTCTCCTCTGAGGTGGCAAGAATATTTTGCATTGGTAACTGTTCACTTGCAGAAGCATAGCAGCTCCTCCTACAAACAGTATGTATGTTATGAGGACTGTCATGCTTGAGTATAATATAATGTCTTTCCACTAAATGAAATACCCACAGGAGACTGGCTGACTAGGAGCACTGGCAATGGAATATAGATGCTTTAATCTCTGGGAACAAAAAATATTTACAGTTGATGGCTGCATAATGGCATAAAATAAGTAGTCACGGTCTTGCTTCCAAATGAGAGGTCTTAGTATATCACATATCCCCGTTCAGGTGTTTTCAAGAAGGCCACAGATTTAATAATGGCTGTGATCCTTAGTGCCTCTCTCATCTACTTGTTTAGGCCTTGCCAATCCCAGTTGTATTGTGCTGGTAGAAGGGTGTGAAGCAGCTTTGTCTTGCGCTACTTCGGTAGTAGACTTCAGTTTCCAGGGCAAATACCCATGTTTGCTGTGTGAGAAATTCGTTTCCTAAAATGCTAATATTTTTGCAGTACAAATAGGATAGAGCGAGACTGCGCATACTGTTGGTGAGGGCAGCTCAACAGATAAATGATAAGCCACTGCGACTTGGTTGTTTGGTCCTTTGCTGATGACCATATTTCAGTCTAGCAGGGAGTGTTTGCTCCGAAATCTGTTTTGGGAAGCTTGTCTTCAGCAATGGCAAGCTTTAAGGTGAGCATCAAACGTAGACAGAACAGATGTCACTGCTGATTTCAGAATCTGTGTAAAGAGGAAAACAAGGATGTTCTTAGATTATTTTCATTACTTATTTGATTTACTCACACGTAATAAGGAAATGTTTGTTAATGATTTATGTGAGGCATAGCTTCTTCCAGTTGTCAGAGGTTGCCAACATATTTTGTCAACTTTTGATATAAAATGAAAAATTGTAATAGTGTGAATTACTCAATTAAGTGTGGCTTCTGCAAAGTTCTGCTTTTGGATTAACATCCTGCTTTCTGCAATACGTAAAGGCTCACTTAACATTTAAAAAAAAAATTACTGGAGGAAAGAAAATTTTGCACTCTTGCATATAATGCTTCAGATGCTAAGTTGTGAATAGGCAGAAGTGTTACTCCTGTTTCTTTTGAAAAATGATTTCTTTAATTTTCTGGATGCCGTAAATTGTCCTTCCCCCCTTTTTTTTTAAGTAAAGCTGCTTCACTTCTGTAGCTTACATTTTACTGAATTGATGGTGAAGAATAGCATGGTTTAAGAAGATAAATGTCAGGAATGTCTTCTAAAGTAGACATTCCGATTTTTTTGGATTAACGGGAAAGAAGGTCAATAATTGCATGGATTTCAATAAGCTTGAGAAGAAATGGGATTCCTGTGGTGCTAGTGATTATTAAAACGTTGTGAATTCATTTCAAGATACTGTACTGGGGTTTAATATCTCTTCCCTTGTGAAAGAATAACTCAGTAAGGGCTGCCAATTTGTACAGATGATGGGAGATAACTCATAAAGCAGTTGTGTTTTTAGGAGAAAAAAGTTATAGCAGACAACAGATAAATTCCTGGATGGTAGTCTTAATCTCAGTTCTGTCTTATTAAATAGGGCCCTCCAGACTTTCAGCAGCACACACCTGGACCAGTTCCTACCAACTTCTCCCAAGCCCCAAGGCTGCCAATCCAGGACCAGTGGAGAGGGCCACCACCACCGCCACCACCACTCCCTCCTCCGCCTCCTCAGGAAAGAGATCCTTTCTTCTTAGCAGGTAGGCATTTGCATTGCCATTAACATACCAAATCCACTTTTGTAAAGTGGGTATGCAGCGTGAGTGTGTATCTCATAACATGAAGTGTTTGAAAGAGCCTGACGACCAGAAGATCCTGTTTGATGTAGCCAGACTATACACGCCAGAAATTCCAGTGGTCTGGTATCTTTTTCCTTCCTTGATGTAGTCTCATGTCTCCATCTGTAACTACCATCAATCTATGTATTTATGCAGATAAAAAATAAAATTAGTATCTAAGTGATTGTTGCAATAAAATCGTTGTGATTTGTTGCATTTTGGATAACTAGTACTCTCCATACACTTTGGCTTCCACTAGTAACTCTTTAAACCATCTGGACTGTATGTGTACAGTAAGAAATCTGTTAAGGTTAGCTAAAATGATACAGCATAGCAAACAACATAGGTTGTGTGTGTATGTAGATACGCATATATATGTAATGTGCATATATAATATATATTTTACACACACACATGAAATATATAAAAACTTGCTAAATATCTGGTCAGCAAATGGCATCAAAATTTTGTGAGTTCTTGCATGTTTTAAACTCTAATCCCTGGAATCCTTCATTGATTTCATTAGAGTAGAATTTTTAAAAGGTATTCCTGATTCCAGCAAATTACCAGTTGTGCTGATCTTTCAAGCATCAGTTCTTTTTATACACAGGTGGCAGAAGCAAGAGAAATGTAACCTTGAGGGTAGCTCTTAAAATTAAAACATCTCATATGATTTTGCTTTCTACAAATTTCAGGTTACTTTTCCAAATCAGAATAGAGCTTTGTGTTTTGCAAGTGTGTTTGTGTCCCAGGGAGGTTATCATTTAAGTACTTGCCTGATTCCCACAGATCCAAGGTTTCCAAGCCATCACTTGTTTGAGCAGCGAAGCCCCCCACCACCGCCGCCTCCACCGCTTCTCAATAGCGCGCATCCTGTCCCTGCCCAAAATCCGATGCCGTTCAGCCAGCCCGGGACAGCATTTAATCAGCAGGGACAACAACCGGTGTTTCCCAGAGAGCGGCCGGTACGGCCGAACATGCAGCCTCAAGGTCCTGTGGGAATTCTCCACTTCAACCAGCCGGGTTCAGCAAACCCGCGGCCGTTCATGCCTCCGAGGCAGCAGTTCCTGCAGGCTCCGGGACAGCCCTTCCTCGCCGCACACACGCAGCCCAGCATGCAGGTACAGGCCTACAAGGAATGTGTGAAGTGGCCCGGTGCTGCCTTGTAGGCTTATAGGGCTAACGTCACTAAAGTGGAATTATTTGAGATTACAGGGATGAGGCAGATGGACCTGTAACCCTTTATTGTTGTGCCTCAAAAAGTGACTGATTTTCTCCCCGGTTGCCAGCACTAACGTATTTCCGATAGCGAGCCTGCAGCCCGGCCCTGCCTCATTAGGTTCCTTTAGCTCCGCGGAGGTAGGGAGAGCGGCCCCGGCCCCGTCAGCGGCCCCGGCCCCGTCAGCGGCAGGGCGGGGGGGGCCCCTGCCGCCCAGCTGGGGAGGCCCGGCGGGG